TGCATACAATTCCTACGAAGAAAACCAAGCATATGATTGGCTTTTGCAGTGCAGCTGGCGATGTGAGGGGACCACTTTAGGTCATTGCTGATAACAACACCCAAGTCTACTTTGTTAGCTATGCTCTTAACTGGATCGTTGTTAAGAAAGTAGCAATGAGTTGGAGGGTTACATTTGCGGGATATCCTAAGTAGGAGCATCTTCGAGACATTAAATTTCATTTTCCAGTTAAGTGACCAGTTGGACATAGCATCCAGGTCAAGCTGAAGGAGACCACGATCAACTGGTAATCGTATAGCACGATAACACTTGCTGTCATCAGCAAAAAGTGCAATGGTACTATTATTGGTTACCTCTGGAAGGTCATTTACATAAAGAATGAATAAAAGGGGACCTATTACACTACCTTGTGGCACCCAAGAGGTAACATTAAGAAAAGATGAGGAAGCTCCTTCAACAACAACACACTGTTTTCGATCACAAAGGTAATCAGCAAACCAGTTAAGAAGTGGACCTGAGATTCCAAACGATTTAAGTTTGAACAAAAGTTTGCTATGGGACACCGAGTCAAACGCTTTAGCAAAGTCGAGATAAGTCAGGTCTGTTTCCTTTCCAGAGTCAAGAGTACGACCAAGGTCGTGAAGTACACTCAAAAGTTGAGTAACACACAACCTTTTACAACGAAAGCCGTGTTGAAGGTCATACAAGGAGTTTTCAACAAAAGAAGAAACCTGCCTGAAAATTAAACGTTTGAGAACTTTTGAGTCTGTAAGGAAACTGGTCTGTAGTTCGTGACCTCATGAGTGTCACCCTTTTTGGGTATAGGCACGACATTAGCAGCTTTCCATTCAGAAGGAAAAACATCCTGCTGAAGAGATAACTCAAAAGAGAGCAGTAAAGAAGGGGCAATTACCTCAGAACATCGCTTTAGAAGGTAAGCTGGAATGCCATCAGGACCAGTAGCCTTAGAGGGTGACAAATTGGAAAACAAAGACTGAACATCGGATTCAGATACATTTAATGAGTCAAGAGAGTTAGAAGCTGGACTAGAGGGAGTGAAAAGAGGTGAAGAACTTTTGTCGGAGGTGAAGACTGACGTAAAAAATTGGTTAAAGCCATCCGCTTTTTCCTTTGCAGAAAAAAGTTTCTGACCTTCCAACTTCATCACGTCTGGGATCGAAGATTTCGAGGATTTACATTTAAAGAATCTCCGGAATAATTTAGGGTTATTATACACATGTTCGGACAGTCCAGAGAGATATTCTCTCTTCTTGGAATTTATCCAACACTTTACGTGTTGCCGAGTTTTACGGAATTTCTTCCAAAGTTCAGGCGAGTTCTTAGCCTTTGCCTTTCTTCTTAGTGACTCTTTCATCTTAATGGCGTGAAATAAGTCCTTGGTGATGTATGGGGGTGTAAAAGAACGCTTGAGCTTTGTTTTGGGGATGAAATGGTCAACAGCGGCAAGGAAAGCGTCCTTCCACTTAGCCCAGGCAAGATTAACGTTGTTACTTTCGTTGAGGACTATATCAACTAGTGGAGTGTTCCTTAGACTGTTAAATAGGCCAACAAAATCACCCTCAGCATAATTATAGACCACACGTTCGGAGGATTGTTTAGGTTGATGGAGTTTTAGGTCGAAAAATATAGCCTTGTGATCAGAGGGTAGAGATGGAGTCGTCATCAGTAACTTCAAAATTGTCGGTCAAATGTTCATTTGTAGTTAAAACCAGGTCGATGAGGTTGTTACCACGGGTAGGTGAGTTAATCAATTGCAGATAACTAAACTCAGTGATGCTGTCAATGAAACTAGTTTCCGAAGCTGAAGTAGAGAAACCTGACCTGTTAGACCATTGGATATTAGGGTAGTTGAAGTCGCCAATTAGAACAACATCTTTGAATTCCAATTCTTGGACAAATTTTAAAAAGCAGGTTAGTTCATTTAGGAAAACATTAGTGGAGTCAGGTGGACGGTAACAGACAGCAATGAGGAGATAATACCAGAGATACAAGTTCCAACGAGTCTCAAACAAAGCCAGAAGGTTCAGTTATGACTGTATCTTTTATGGCAAGCAGAACACCACCGCCCCGTTTACCAGTTCGATGATCTCACCGAAATAGCTTGTATTCAACAGGCAAGATTTCATCATCATGCTCATTGACAGTGAGCCAAGTCTCCACCAAAGCAATCACATCTACAATGTTGCCATAAACAATGTCATTCATGTAGATATGAAAGCTTATTCACAATGCAATTAGTTGTAGGGTTACGATGATTCGCCTTCAGACTTCTGACGTTCTGATACAGAACATTAAACAAAGAACGGGATCTAGGATTGGTAAGTCCTCGCACATTAGGTGATGATGTAGAAATGCTGCAGTTAGGACCGGGATTAGTAGAAATGTCATTAGATAAAGATATAAGTATCAGTGAAATGGACGTTTACAAGTTAACATAGTTACCATGACAAACAACGCTTGACATATTATAGCTGGCCAATACAATTAATTTCCAACCGTCAAAAAGATAAAATAGATGTAGTTTAAATTCTCTATATCCAACCAACACCAAAACTTGACAGGATGACAGGAACACAGAACGTAGTTTACGGAGAGAGTTTAAAACAAATCCAATAAACGGTTGACGAGATAATGACAACAACGCAAAATTCAGGATTTGTAGCGAGACACAACGACAACTGATGACCAAGAACGAATAATCCAAAATAAACAAACAAATCCAACGATAAACTGAACAATAACTATATCCACTGAATCACTGGGACTTTATACTCAGTTTAACACCACGTTTGATTGAATATGAAAAAGATAGAGGTCGTAAAGGATCGAAAAAAGCGCACACATTAGCGGTGTGACCTCGTGTGATGTAAGCCTAAAGATTGAAAACTTATAACTTCATAACTTCTCATTTATTTATTACAATATTATTTACTACTTTTATTTATACTTAAGTTTTTTAACTGTTAAGGCATACCAAGGAATTAAGTTTTAATTGATAGCTGTAAAAAACAGCATGCACCTGGTCAGCGAGTTAGTGATCAAACAGAATGATACATATATCATTTGAATTGTCTCGCCACGGCCGATTTTTGATGAAAAAGGTAATTGTGACATATGCACTTTAAAAATGACCTTCCTACTCTGGCTATCGTAAGGTATGCCAGAGTATTAAAGCACAAGAGGCTGTTGTTTTGGGCGTCACAAATGCAATCTGCATTCATGGAGTTAACTGCTTTTCTCCTCTAATAGTTCATAGGCTCACAACAAAATGGGTGTCGATTTAGGAGTTTAAAAAATATGAAAACAGAAATATTTTGTATTACAGAAATACATTAGTGCCAGCTAGAGCATACTTAAAGGGGCATTGTCACGGTTCTACTGCATATCCAAAATATGTGCGACCTTGAAAAACGACAGCCACTTGTGTGTTTTAATACTCTGGCATACCTTACGATAGCCAGAGTAAGAAGGTCATTTTTAAAGTGCATATGTGACGTCGAAATCAACATGTTTTAGTTAACTTGTATATTATGTAGTAATGTATGTGTGTTATGAACTTGTACAAAGATATGATCTTAATTATTCTGAGTTATCACAGTGAACTAGGGGGCCTTGTGACGACTGTCACTAGGCCTCCTCTTCACTCAATTTATTTATTACAAAATTATTTTAACAAATGAGATGGCCTCTTAATATAAGCCTTTTAGCTTCTTGAGGTCTTCTCGCTACTGCTCAACTTTGATACTCAAACTACAATTAATGTAAATATCTATATTCTTGTTGTGTTGTGGCAAATAAATGATGAATGACGAATTCAGCACCCAAAAAAAAAGAAAGGATTTTATACGGTGGTTTGTGCAGGTCAGGTTTATTTTTTCTAGATATTTAATTAAGATAGAATTAATATTTCTGTTCTGGGACGATTTAGCAAAAATGATGTGCACACAACTGCTAAAAAAATATTTAGTTTTTTCAAATAGTCACTTAAAGGTGATCTACAGTCTGTTCTGCGCATGTGCACAAATGAGCCCACTTTTTATGATACAAACAGTTTAACTATGTTTTGAGTTCTTGAAAAGCCTAATTGTTGTTTCTTGATCATTTATTATACTCTAGAAGCTTGAAAATATAAGTAGTTGTCGAATAAAGCTCGATATTTTGGACACAAAAATGTAAACAAAGGCTTTGTTTACATACGGACTGTAGATCACCTTTAAGGTGGCTCGCTACAGTTTATAGAAATGTTGAAAATGCGTTAACTAGATCACCTTTTTGAAGAGATGATGCTCTTTACAAATCAAAATTTGTATATTATATATACAGCGACAATCAAATAGTCGAAAATTGGTCAGAAAAGTGACGTCACCACTGTTGCTACGGCAACAATGACGATTCAAGATGGCCAATATTTTGGCTTTGAATGCATTTTTACCCCCATTTCAGAAAACATTTTCTTATAGTGCAATGCACTATCTGACCAATTTTAAAAAAATTCTGTAATGCAAAAAAAAATTTATTTCAAAAAACCATGTTTATAAATTTTTAAAAAATTTGGCATTACACAATTTTTTTTAAATTGGTCAGATAGTGCATTGCACTATAAGAAAATGTTTTCTGAAATAAAAAATGGGGGTAAAAATGCGTTCAAAGCCAAAATATCGGCCATCTTGAATCGTCATTGTTGCCATAGCAACAGTGGTGACGTCACTTTTATGAGCAATTTTCGGCTGTTTGATTGTCGCTGTAAAGAGCATCATCTCTTCAAAAAGGTGATCTAGTTTACGCATTTTCAACATTTCTATAAACTGTAGCAAGCGACCTTAATTCGTTATTTTTACATCATTACATGAAAGTTTTTCAGTATGAGAGAGATTTGAGTTTTTATATTTATTTTTAGATGCCGCACAATCGTTACAAAGTAACTTGTGCTTTGTGTGGGAGCATATTTGACAATGATTACAAAGGAAAACATTGCTAAAATGTCTCCCACGTCGATCAACTCTCTGTTGTCGCAAGGTACGTTGATAAAGATGGGAATCCCCAAGAACGCCTCATTGATATCAAGGAGATCCATGACAAGCCCGGAGAAGGCCATGCTCAAGGAATCCTTTCTTCTCTGACTGAAAATCCATTGATACAGATAACAGAGTTTTCCAGTCATATGATTATACTTCGTCCATATCTGGGGTCTTCAAGGGAGCACCACTGTGGAGCATGGCTGTGAAGCGAGTGTTGCTGTGTGCAAAAAGTTTGAAATCCTGCAAGAGCTGTTTGTCTTCTTTACTTCCAGTAAAAAAAGATACAGCGTGTTTCATGACAAAGTGAAGGAAAACTATAGTGGTGGAGCATTGGAATTGAGAAATTTATCTGCAACATGTTGGAGCACCTGTGCAGATTCAATAGCTGTTTGGTTCAATAGCTGTTTGGTTCAATAGATTCAAAGCTGTTTGGTTGAGTTTTGATGAAATAACCCAAGGGCTGGAAGAATTAGAAGATTCTGATGACAACAAAATGAAAGCAAAGGCTGAAAATCTTCTGGCAAGAGTAAGATCTTTTCAATTTATTGTCATGGTTATGTTTATGAAGAATGTGATGATAAAGACAAAAATATTGACAAAGCAAGTTCAGAGTGTCAACATCAACATTGTTGACATTCTAGAATCTGCTAAAGCAACCATTTCTACGCTGCGCCACTTACATAATGATGAACAAAACGTAAACAACCTGATTACTGCTGCTGTAAAATTTTCTGAACGCCATGGAGTTGACGCTAATGACGAATACCAGCAACATCATCATCACAGACGCCCAACAAGAGTGGACGAAAGACCAGAAACGGCAACAAACCTTAACCTCTAGGATTTCTACAGAAAAGAATTCATCCAAGTCCTCGACGTACAAACACAGGCATGTGATATTCTTGCCCCAGCAATTAACCTTCTTCCTCCATTTGACAATGATCCCAAATAAGAAGACGTTGACTCTCGTAAAGATGCTTCCACATTCTCTACAACCTGACAACAACGTTTTATGTGATGAACTAACGTTGTTTAGAAATCATTGTCGAGAGAACAAGCTGGAAATTGAAACAATCAAAGAAGCAGCACGTCTAGCTAGGAAATTTGAAAGCATATTTCCCTTTAACAAACAGATGCTATCACCTGATTTTAACTGCACCTATTACAGCAGTGTTGAGTTAGCGAAGCTTCTCTAAGCTGAAATTGATCAAGACAGTTATGCACTCGGTGATGAATCAGGACAGGCTTAATTAAGGATTTCATGACTTTAGGGTCAGAAAAAGATTTAACTGATTCAATTGACCTAAACGTAATAGTTGATCGCTTGGCAAAACTCCCCAAGACTCAGCGTATTATTAGTGTATAAGTGTAGAACTACATGAACAAAAGATATGCTATCATTGTTATACATACATGTGTAAATATCTTCAAAGCCACCAGCCACATAACTACTGTAATAACTATTAAAGTGGTAATAATAATAATAATAGCATTTATAATAACTCTTCAAATGGAACATTGCCTTTGGAACTACTTGATCTAAAATTTCCTTATTGTTAATGGTATAAAGTTATATCTTGCAAAATTGTCTATTTTGTCTATCTACTTGATTGCAGCCAAGTGCACTGTATCATTCTTTGTTATGATTTATGAACAATATGACAGTCGGTCCCGGATCTTTGCCGAATTAAAACTCTGTCCCAGATCCATTCAAACACCCCCCTTAAAATGTATTACATGTGCGCCCCTGATCTCACCTTGCCACCTAACAGCAATAGTGCAAAGTGAAACTTTGTACTAAAACTGGGACTTACTCTGATTTAAGCAAAATACAGGGTGTATCATAAAAAACAGAGTCCTCGCTTCAAATATAAATTTCGAAACGAATATTAAAGCAAAACGTTCAGGTTTACATTCATTTTAAAGCTTAGACATTCAGCTTTTCAATGGTGGGTTGTTTCGTAAATATAATCCAGAAGTTCGTGAATAATAATATTTTAAGTGATTGCAATTGGAGAGTCAAAAATTTGAGATGCAATAACAAACCGGTACTTTATGAAAATAACTTATTTTGTCAACAAAATGAGCAAATTGAGGCATTTTGGCAATTGCTTGTAAAAATCAAGTAATAATGGCTTCCAATACACTATTTTAAATTCACTTGCTGACTTCAAATGTGTTATAATACCGGCTGAAGCGTGTTTTAGCTTGCCGTCAACTTGCTAATTTATATTTACATTACGGTCCGATTCGATGGTGCTCATTCAGATGGTGCTCGTTCAGATTCGAAGGTGCTCGTGCATGGACATAAGGTTGTTTTGATGATTTCTGGAAATAATTTAGGATTTTGAAATAAATAAAACAACGTAATCTCTTTTAGAATGTTTTTAACAAGTTCTTACTAGTTTTTCCGATGTGGCAACAAGAACATTAAAGTTTGAACAAGAAAATTCAAACATTGCAACCGACTATGGAAGAACACAGTAAATTTGTATAATTAAGCGGCATCTAAACATGATAGGTTTTACTAAATTTTCTCCTGTGCAGTTATTACTTGCACTAAAGACATGGATGACCATTTGTTCAAAAGATAAATGAACAGGCTTTAAAATAAGCCTAAAACTGTTTTATTAGAAGTAGCAGTCCGAAAGTTATTAAGCACAAAATTTGGACTCCGTTTTTTTTATACACCCTGTACAACTACCATCTCATATTACCATTATAGCATTAACGCATGCCATTCACCAAACATCCATGCTTGCAAGCACATATTGACATGCACATTGTATGAAGCAAATATATTTATTGTAACACGGGAGTATGATAGGAAATAAGTAGATCAAAACTAAGGATAAGAGACTTGTGTGAATATATCCCTTCTAGTAAACTATCTAAAAAATATAGCTTTCAATATAGTTACAGGTAAACTATGTGAAGCGTTCCTCTTTTGACTTTATAACTCATTTGGAATTTTCCTCATTAGCTTTGCAAATTTGAAAAACTCTTTGCAAATCCTTCGAGGGAATTTGCAATGTTCCTATCGACTGTTGCAATATTCCAATGCAAACAAACTTCATTTTAAATTTTCCTGACTTCCTGTTTTAATTTCCTAACTTCCTGTTCTGTTCCAAGCGTTGTTATTGGTCGATTATTTTTGTTAGCCAATTGCAACGCCCAGAACAGAACAGGAAGTTAGGAACTTGTAACAGGAAGTTAAGAACTTCTAACAGGAACTGAGGAAAATTTAATTGGCTGTCAGCAACATTGCAAATTTCCTCAAAGGATTTGCAAGGGAGTTTTCTAAATTGCAAAAGTAATGAGGAAAATTGCAATCAATTTAGAAACTCAAAAGAGGAACGCTTCACGTAGTTTACCTGTAATTACACTGACAATCAGTCCAGGCACATTGTTTCTATGTCCATGCAGTACACATTAGGGTCATTTATACGGGACAAAATAAGTCGCGTCTTACATAAGACGCGTCTTATATAAGCTGAGTTATTGCATAAATGGTTCTCTACGGATTTATTCTTATTTACTTGCTATAGCTATAATGTTGTTTCGGTTGTTTTTGTTTGAATAAGCAATGCTAATAATTTTACATTGTTTCACGTTTCGGGCATGTGTAGTTGGAATTTTTGTCTAAAATTTCTTATTTAAGACGCGACTTAAATAAGAACAGCTAAAAGTCCTGTTCTTATGTAAGACACGTCTTATCCAAGATGCGTCTTATCCAAGACGCGTCTTACATAAGAATTTTGTACCTTTTATACAACAAACTTGCGTCTTATTTAAGTTGCGTCTTATGTAAGTCACGCCTTATTTTGTCCCATATAAATGGCCCTATTGTTTCTATGTCCATGATCATGTCTTTTGGTATCCAACCAATTTGTTTTTCAATGGCTTTGCTGGTAAAATAAACACCAATACCTTCCTGGTGATCTTTACCTGGTACATTTACATAAGTTCTTTTCAACTGACAACTAATTTCTCTTCTCTCCGTCAACAGTTGTTTCATTTCATATCTTTGACTGCTTCTGAAAACGTTGTCAACTCGATGCTGTCTGGCCTCGAGATTTTCGACTTGAAGGGGAAGATTAAATATTAAAGAACTCTGCAAGTATTTGCAGTAGAAATACGAAAATACCACCAAAAAATTCTGCTTGAAAGATACAAAATACTCAAACAATGTAAAATAGGCATAAAATATAAACTAATCATACTCGAACAATGTAAACTCGTCATACCATACCTATATACAATATACTTGAACAATGTAAAGAATGTATCACTAAGGGGCTGTTTATATGAGAGGTGGGATGGGCGTTTGCCGGGACTGGATGATGAACGGGATCCCAGCTTGTATAAATTTCTATTATATTTATCACTGGGATCCCGCCTTAGCCAGGACGTTTTCTTCCATGTAAACACTTGTTGCCGGGACGGGATGGAAGGCGGGATGATTTTGGTGTATTGAAATACATGACTAGGCTTAAACGAACATTCAAATACTGGTTAAAGAAACTCAAATGTTATTAAAGAAAATCGTGTAGTTCAAGAAGATTATTATTGCTCCTTCAACAACCTTTCATTACAATTATACTGTAATCTATCACTAGAAAAAGATTGCCTCCCATCTCATCCTGGAAAAGCGGGACCATGTAAACCTGGGATGTATAAATCGTCCTTCCCCTCATATAAACAGCCGCTAAGTCATACCTTTCGCTGAATATAACTTTTGCCCCTTTTGTAATAGTCTTATTCGAATCAGAATCCAAGACAATATTTAGAGTGCTATTTTCAAGCTTGTGTATCTGCAGATTAGCATCAGAAGTATAAATTGAAATGTTGAAACAATGCAATGTTTACACCCTAGCACTCGGGAAACATTGGAAATCGATTCCAAAAGTCAAATTACCCCTGCAGCATGATTTGAATATGTGCATCAGGCTACACATGCTGTTATCAGCCAATTCTAAAACCCTGATATTTTGAAAAATTCAAAAGGAATATTTCTACTCATATTTCTACATAAAAGTGCTTGTTATTAACTTGGGCGAATTTTGAAAAGTTTAGAAGATAATTCAAGTTTTTCTCAATATGAAATACACAATGTTTGGCCAAGCGGTGAGTAAATATATAATTTTTTGGTTTGTGTAATGTTATGATGGCATTTGACCCCCCCCCCCCCCCCCCCCCAAGGTTAATTTGTCAGGATTTCAAAGGTGGGTAAATACTTGCCAAGATATTTTAATTGTCAAGTTTATTAAACAGCTTCAAACACAACTACAAATTCAATAGACATACACTGCCTTATTAGTATTCTTTATATAAACAATACTAATGAGGACACGACTACAATAGATACTGCCTTATTAGTATTCTTTATATAAAGAATACTAATTAGGAGTGTTATCAGGTTTAAAGCCACTGCACATGACACATTACGGTTGACATGATTTGCCAATAAGCTTATGAATTATTAATGAGCATTTGAAGTACTGTTTAATAAACGAGTTTATTAAAAGGCTTCAAACAGACTACAAATTCAATAGATATACCGCCTTATTAGTATTCTTTATATAAAAAATACTAATGAGGACACAACAACAATAGATACTGCCTTATTAGTATTCTTTATATAAAGAATACTAATTAGGAGTGTTTTATCAGGTTTAAAGCGACTGCACATGACATATTACGGGTGACATGATTTGCCAATAAGCTTATGAATTATTAATGAGTGTTTGAAAGGAATTTAATATGCACAAGTTGGGTTTTACAAGGCAACAAAGTTTAATAATGAATAATATTTGGTGTAACATGTAAACTTATCTTCTGGCTTTGTTTTTTGCCTTTTGGATGTGGGTTCATTATGAGGAACTTGCAAGGATGCTCATCCTCCAAAGCCAATTGCTGAAAAATATAAGGTGTTTTATAGAAAAGTGCTAAATATCCAAGTACTCGCTTTGATGTATTAAACGACAGTGTCATATTTAAAACACACTCACCACATGGAAACCTTCATTGGGAACCTGCAAGCCCTTCTTTAAGCATTCTGCTATCCAATCAACACATAAATGATATTGCTGTGGTGTACAATCCTTATTTACTATGTGATTTGCTGACATGCTCCCCTTGCTTGTAACAATGTGGGTTGTTGTGTCACGTTGTAGGTCGGTAATAACTCCTCCTTGTTCTTCTATTCTCTTCATTAATATGTGAACTTGAGTATGAGTTTGCTTCTTGAGCATAAAATAAAATTCATAGCCATCAAATATTTTCTGCATTTTCAATATTCAGTTACTAGCTAGAAATTTCATTGATTGTAATTTTGATCGTATTTTAGAGTTTTTTCACTGACTGACACATCATGAAAATATATATTCAGCAGTTTAAACCAAAAGTTTATGGTAGGGCTGAGTTTTTATAATCATAGGAATGTCGTATTGGTTCGGAACTTGGTTAGAAAGTTCATGATGGAGGTCCAATTGTTGAGCAGGTGATATTACAAATAATTATATAAGGACCGTGCACACTCACTATAAATTAATATAAAAATTTTAAAATTATTAACTATAAAATAATCATGCATAATATACACTATTTACATAAACATATGGTTAGGCATGATGACCTCACAATTCAAAAACACAAGCCATCGATTAGTCTCTTGAAAGAACTGATAGAAGTTTCAGGTATTTTTATTATTGGAAGTTTTTCCATTAAAATTTGGTTCCATGAAACTGCTCCTCTTCTTTGACTATATGATCTCTAATTTTAATAATACGGTCATTTTTTATCTGTTTCAAGTGCTTTATTGAATCGATTAACATATACTCGGTTTTTTATTGCTGCTGAAGGCAGCACACTATTCTTAACATGAATTATCACGTTTACTTGTGCCCAGTCTCTTTGCCCGAGTTATGTATTGTTGAGATCTCGATTTTGTGTCTGTCTGTTGGATGTTTGTCGTAATTCCTGGGAAATAATTAAGGCTTCAGGAAGTTTTTTAAATGAAGTGGGTGGTCAAACTTTATTCTGTATTGTACACGGATCAAGTTCTTTCAGTATCAATACCAGCAGTATTATTAAAAGCTATCTTATATACATTTTCATGATGCAAAACATTGCCAATATTTTCAATAATTCAGGTAAGGATAGCTTTATTTCTTTCTGGTGCAAAATTATATTTAATTTAGTATGTAATACTATATGATTTACATTTTCATCATGCAAAACATCGCCAATATTTTCAACCGGCTGTATAGTCTGACAGTATAGACACTTGGATAAATATACATGAAGCCAAAGGCATTTATATTTATAACACTATGATTTCAATATTTCATGAACTATCAGCATGAATTTATCATGATTTATTAGTTTGTTACTCATTAGTTTGTGTGGTGATGTCCCAAGGCGATGAGTTTATAGTGTTCATTCTACATTAAAGTTTTTTAAACGTTCTCTGATTGTAAATTTTTATTTAAAACATGAGCTTTCAATACATCGAATTCACCCGCCTCATAGCTTGTCCTGGCAAAGCGGGATCATATAAACAGCCCCTTATAGTTTAATGTTAATTTGTTTGCATGTAACCAAGTCTTTACGTTTTGGATTTCCACTCCCAATTTGTATTCAATTTCGAAAAAAGACTCTCCAGTTGCAGTTAAGCTTGTATCATCAGCAAACATGGCAAGTTGAGTTATTTCTGAACTATTTGGCAAATAATTTATATAAATTGTAATGGGCCAAGGTTAGATCCTTGTGGGATGCCGCATGAAATGTTTTGGAAGGTTTATAGCAAGTTATTTACTTTGCATATTTGTTTCCTATTACTAAGATATGACTGAAACCATGAGAGTGCTGATCCCCATAACATCCCCATTTGGATAATAGAATCTTATGGTTTACCGTGTCAAAAGCCTTTTTGAGGTCCAAGAATAGGACACCATTAATCACACACAATTGCCTTTCATGGTCATGAAAGGTTGTAAGTTTGGTGTTGCCACTCAAGCAAGTAAATCTAGGCTGAATGTATTGGCATCAGCTGGAAAAGACTGGAGTAAGCTGAAAAATTTAGAATATGATGGGAAGCGACTGAAATGGACAGAACTTGATTGCTTAAAGAAATTTATGGACTGTTTTGTTGTTGGCAATGGCAAATGGCACTCACCTGTCAGTTTGTAAGTGTGTATAAGAATAATAGCGAAATAGTTGCTAAAATTGAGAAAATACAATCAAAACAAACTCAGTTCCGAAATATCGCATACTTAAAGTGACCTGACTGCATAGCTCAGTCGAGCATATTGGGCTAGTAATCCAAAGGTCGTAGATTCGATTCCCACTGTGGATACATACTCAGAGTAACATCACAAACATCGAAACAAAAAGATTTGGCAAAATATAATCAAAAGTCAGGATAAGGCAATAAACATTCTTAAACAGGAAAATTTTATGCTTAAGTCAAAGTTGATTATTTGGAATTTATTTTTTTGCTAATCCCCAATTACAAATGGTTCACCCGTTTCTGATAAAAACTGCTCAATCAAAGTGAAATCTGCCTGAAGGGACCAAGATGTGATTTCTCCCACACCCAAACCCTCTCCATGTTTGTTCGTAAAACCACCTCCAATCAATAGTTATCTTACCCTATCCACCAAAAACCAAAAATTTTTCCACAACCCCTTACTTCATTGTGCCTATCAACATCCAAATTTAAGGAACCTACATCCCCTTCTTTTTGTATCTGCAAAGCAGATATATTGCTATCGCAAACATGACCGCACTGTTATCGTATGTTAACACATAGCCATTCAGCGACAAGCTTATATAATTAGCCAAATTGGACATTAGTTTACATCAATTGTTTATATTGCGCCCACATCTAACCTTTTGGCTTCAAAAATATCTTGATTTTGTCTTGTTTTCACCATTCTACTGGCGATATTATTCCAAAGTTATGTATCAATTAACATGGAAACTTATCCTTATCTGGTAAGTAGTCAAATACCACATATTTTATTATATATTTATAGAGTAAAACAATCATTGTGTACAAAGCATATATTATAGCAGGCAAATATTGCCAATGAGCAATATCACAGGAAACTAATGTTCTCTGAGGAGATATCCTGTATTTCTGTAACTCTGTTCAGAACAACAGTCCAACTATAAGCTGTCATCAAATGTAGTGTTAGAGCCAAGATTAAGGTCATAAGATGTTAACAGTTAAATACTTATACATTAAAATTTTGGTTTTACACATGCATACACAGTTGAAGGGGAAGTCAAGTCCGTTCTGCGCATCGGTTCTGCTCATAACAATGTGAGGACCTCTAATGTGAACATTGCCCAAATTTCGAATGTTTCGAATTTTTCTGAACATTTTTCTGAACATAAACTCTATTTCATATTCATTTAGAAGCATAGCAAACCAAAATGGTGTTAGATATTCAGACAGTACATCATATTTTAAAAAATACAGCAGTTCAAAATGTAAACAAACCGTTTGTTTACATTACAGACTTGACATCCCCTTTAAATAAACAAAATTTTTACAAACATTTTCAAATGCCAATAAAAAAGTAATAATATTATCATTTTGCTTTCTAATATAAATGTTTTTGTTTGGAGATTGATACAAGAATGAATAAATGTACTGGATATTGGCTGGATAATTTTGTCAGAACAACAGCCACTTGCAAGACAATCTTACCTAAATTCATTAGTGTGGAAAATAACTTAACAGCTACAATAATCACATATTGTATATGGATGGATCAGATCAATTGCACACAGTATATGTACAAAACTAAACTTGTGCTACCTTCTACTGAAACCGATATTCTCTCACAACACAAACTGAAACCGATATTCTCCCATAACACAAATGATTTTTGTGTGGACATGCTGTGTTAAACCGAACAGTATGGTATATCATTAACTTAATGATGCCCTTCAAAACATTCTCTACTGTTTGTACAGTGGTCTTTGATATATGATTGACTCATTGCTACAGCAATGCATGTTTCTCAAATAGTTTGTGTATGTTACTCGATAGTTAACATTGCTAATTAAGTGTAAGTAACAAGTGACAGAATTTTTGCTTCATATGATTACAATAAAGTTTTGAAAATTCGATGAGTATGGGGATTGATTGTCAAGTGACAGTTTACTAAATAGCCGGCTGTATAAACACTTTCAATATTAATATGAAATTGGTCGAAGACCCGTACTCAGGAAATAAAATAACAACATAAAACGCTCACTGAGTTTCCAGCGATATATATACCCTTTTCTAGATATATACCTAATAATAATAAACGAACGAACGTATTCCTTCCACTCGTGAGCTCATTTACCATTGTCACATATAGTAAATGTCCAGGCCTTGTGACCCTGGATGGGCACTTAAAAGGAAAGAATACACACACACAAAGGTTTATTTATTCAACCATTACAAGAGAACGATTGAACAACTGCGCATGAACGAACGTTCAAAGTGAATGCCACTTGTTAGCCACCTGCATAATTATTATTAGCATAACAATATGTCTCACACAACTCATTTCCTTGTCGTCATATCATAACAAACCATATCAGGAAATATGAATATCAATTACAAACCTTTAGTCAAATCCATGACCTTCAGGAATATTTACCTACAACTGTAGGATTTAAGAGCACCAAAAATAACAATATGAAATTGGTCGAAGACCCGTACTCAGGAAATAAAATAACAACATAAAACAGGAAAAAATGGTTCACCTGTCCACCTGTCAGTCCATATCAGCATTTTACCCTGACCCCTTTCAGCACAATGATATTCACATTCTGCAAAATGAGAACTATGACTATGGCCATATTTATTTTAATAGGCAAACATTTTGATACACACAAAGCCATCATTTTTATAAATTTTCTCAAACATCTCCGTCTGAAAATGGGTTACGGAAATCTGCATGCCATTCTGGTGATAAAAATTATGGTAACCAACACAGTTTGCGACTTGTATGTCAAGCTCTTTCAGCAAAAACTGTACTCTGTGTACAAAGTTAATAAAACTATTCGAAAATGTTTTAAATGCGAATTTGATATAGAAAAGTTCGAAATCTTCACGTTCAAAATACATACCATACTTTGTTTATTAGACTGCATGCATGCCCGAGCAACGGGGTGGTAAACATGTTCACCACACAGACTTTTATTTCACGACGTAATAATATACACTGTTAATTTGAAGGTGTTAAAATAACACCAAAAATGGTGTCAAATAAAAAGGTACAAAATAACACCTTTTTTGGTGCTATTTTAACACCACTTTGTAGGGTGTCAAATTAGCACCTGCAAAGGTGTTAAAATAACTCCATTTTTAGTGTCATAATAGCACCCTTTTCGGTGTTGTTTTAGCACTCTAACCTTGGTGTTAAAATAACACTCAATTTTAGTGTTATTTTAGCATTACCGAATATTAAAAATGTATATCCCTTCTATCCAACACACAAAACAATTAATAAAATAATCTGTTGAAAAATTTATTTACATTATACTTTACAGCATTACTTATCTGTGTCATATATGAAGTTTATAGTAAATTCAGAGTTATTGCACCTAAGGTTTACACTATATAGAAACGTTCACAGAAATAGACCATGATTGTGAGGCCATAACTCTCCTCGTACTACACTCTAGTCATTAAAGATAAGGACAATACCGTAAACTTCCAACTATAAGCCCTGGGCTTACATTCTTTCGTAAGCGATTTTTGATGGGCGTATACATGGACAATCTTTTGTGTTAGTTTAATAGCAATAAACAAGTATAGTAATAGTGATAAACAAGTGTTAAACAAGCATAGTAATAATGATAAATAGTTGTAATAGTGATAAACAAGTGGGCTTATTTATATTTGGGTGGGCTTATATTCAGGGGGGGGCTTATGTTTGGAATGAGGTGAGCGTTAGTACATGTGGTGGGCTTATACGTGGGGGGGGGCTTATACTATACATGGGGGGCTTATATTTGGAGATTTACGGTATATCCTGCATGTACAATACATGCATTACATTAATGATCAATATAATATAAATATCATCATTATCATAAATTGTGGATTATCATAAACTGCAGGTTGTTGGCTATATTGCACAATTTGAATTTTTCACAAACATTCCCTCTGCAATCAATGAAATCAAACTTATCTCTTCCAGAGGTCCAGTACCAATAGACAAGGGGTTGAGATCCTGATAAAAGGGTTTGAGCATCCTCTACACAAAAAGATTTAAACATAGAATAAATTTCTGTACAGTATACATACACATATATAGATTAAGTTCTTTCAATTAAGTATCTTAATCTATGTTAATTGTTTAATCCATGTCCATAATATAAACACACAGATACTAAACAATTGTTTCTTCAAAACCTGTAATCACTGTAATCAATCATACAGCAAAGTAGACTATTCACTAGCTACAGTTGCAAACAGTAGATTGTTTAACTACCTGAAAAAATAAGAATTTCTTTGAATGATTTTCTTATTTTTCAATCAGTAATTAAACAACCTACTTTTGAAAATACTTCTCACAATTACATACTTTGATTCAGTTGGATCATTTCAATACAGTTTATATCTGTCACAATCCAAATGAAAGTTTATGTTACCGGTGAAGATAATTTGTAACCAATAGAATCTTTGCTGAATGGTACTCTAACCCATTAAGCGGGAGCCCTCTCCCCTTGACAAGTAAAATCGTCTGGTGTTAGACAAAGTAAAATAATAAAGTAGGGTGCAATTTATGTGGCATAGTTGACATGAAGGGGGTAACTAGGCACATGGGCAGATATGACAGTTAACCCATTAGCACCAGCTCTCTCCCCTTGATAAGTAAAATCATCTGGGATCAGACAGAGTTAAATAGTCTGGCATTAAATAAAGTAAAATAATAAAGTAGGGCATATCAGGGCATAATGCAACTCAATTTGTAATTTTCTGTAGTGAGTCGGCTAGATACTGTAATTCATTGTCAATTAATAATTTAACGTCAATTATTGATCATTTATTGGCATTAATTGTCAAATTGCCACAAGATAACAGAGATAAGTTCACATAAAACCCACCCACTTATAATGTCGATTCGATGTTGTTGTGGCAACATGAATATGGACGTGGCCCCTGAAACAGTTTCTTTATGCATAAAATTGTGAGCCTGGAAATTCTCAGAAACATATAAACAATAGTATGAGGGACTCAGACATGTATCCTCAATATATTCAGGGAATTTAGGAACATTCTACCTGGGTTGTCTGGATATTAAATAGAAATACAGCTATTTACTATGATAGTACAATATAGATAACACAAAGGAAGGATTGTTCTGCTCTTAGGTCCCATTTACATGAAACCAGGACGAAGTCAAACTGGAAGGAAAATTGAAATTGTCAACATGTTTACATGAGATCAGTACAAAAATCACAAAATTTTCAATTTATTCCCCTTGTTAGGAAATTTTCTTGTTCAGATGGCTTTTGTTAGCATATGTTGTTCCAATGTCAAGGTTACAGCCAAGACCGGTCTGAAATGTATTTGTGTTTACATTCATGCCGGTCTGAATTCATGCCAGTCTAAAGTCAATCGGCTTGATCCAGCCGGCAGAATGACTTGAGACTGGTCTGTCGAGTTATTTTCATCCTGGTCGCTTGTGAACATCTATTATAGATCATACTATGAGCAAAACAAAATGGTCCCGGTTTGACTTTGTTGTGGTCTCATGTAAACAGGGCCTAATACAAAGCCATAGAACTTGCTTTGGAGATTATACTGGCCTCTGTAGCTCAGTTGGTTAGAGCGCTGCACTGGAATCGCAGGGCCGTAGGTTCAATTCCTACCAGAGGACCTTGTGCTGCATTTTTGGCAGTCGTTCCTGGTTAGGTCTTAAAATGTATATATTCTCACTTGGATTACAAACCCTTACATTCTAAATTAATTCCACCAAGTGAAGTGCAAGAAACCATCATTGAAGTCCACCTTATCACAACCCGCACACCCGATTACCTATATATACATGAACTTACGGTTAAAGCTCAACAGCTGGCCTCTGTAGCTCAGTTGGTTAGAGCGCTGCACCGGAATCGCAGCGCCGTAGGTTCAATTCCTACCAGAGGACCTTGTGCTGCATTTTTCGCAGTCGTTCCTGGTTAGGTCTTAAAATGTATATATTCTCACTTGGATTACAAACCCTTACATTCTAAATTAATCCCACCAAGTGAAGTGCAAGAAACCATCATTGAAGTCCACCTTATCACAACCCGCACACCCGATTACCTATATATACATGAACTTACGGTTACAGCTTAACAGCTGGCCTCTGCAGCTCAGTTGGTTAGAGCGCTGCACCGGAATCGCAGGGCCATAGGTTCAATTCCTACCAGAGGACCTTGTGCTGCATTTTTCGCAGTCGTTCCTGGTTAGGTCTTAAAATGTATATATTCTCACTTGGATTACACACCCTTATATTCTAAATCAATATTAATAGCCATTGAGTCAACATTGGTATCCTCTCAATAGATCAATACATTAACAAATATAAATGTTTATATTGTTAACTTTAATGTATTGATCACTATTGAAAGGGTATCAATATTAACTCATTTAGCTAATATTTATCTAATCGCCAAAGCAAGTTCCATGGCTTTGTATGAGCGAACAATCCTTCCTTTGTGGGCCATTGTCAATATAATTGTATATTTCATACCTTCTTGTAGCCTGTATATATCATGATTTCGACAGTTCGACTTGCTTAGAACACATACTATGACAGTATTTATTGCTTGAAATTATAACCTGTCAATACAAAGCAATATCACTAAGTTTTAATGTATTTTAATAACAATATATTGTTGAACCAAATACAAAATACAATGCTTCCAACGGCAATGGCGGTTAAAATATACATGAATATATTACTATTTATGGCACATATTTACACACGAAACTTAAAAATATTGACGTAGTTGAGCAGTTACATTTACAATTATTGTCTGAATCTTCAAACAATGGAGAATTTCTTCTTATTTTCTACTATAATTTAAGAAATCTTGGCTTTATCAACCGACGTTAAATTAAAATTTCCAAGCGACGCACTAGAAATGTGCTCGCTAAGCCCTCTGGGAGGCCCTTCTGAAGGCACTGATCTCAATCATGTGAGCAATCCAGTGCAAATAAACCTGCATTTCTAAGTTTTTTTGACAGAGACTCTTAACTCTAAAATTCTAGCTGTCTTGTTATATCTCCCTTGCATGAACGTATTTTGTCATCACCACACAATTTCTTTTCACTGCATATTTTTACTGCCGATTTATCACTGCACACTTTCCTGACATCACTAACACCAAAATGACAGATTGCTTCGATTATTTTTTATTAGTTTTTCAATGAGGCCCTACAAGGATTACATTAAAAGCGATAATATGTAAAAATATGATCCTTTGCCCCATTTACTTGTCTGAAAAACGTAAACCGCTCCTACGTGGTCCGCCACTTTGAATCTGAAGGTTTTAACTCTCAAAACGGTGCTACTTTGACACTTTCACTCAATAGAATGGGTGTTATTTTAACACCCTAGAAAAGTGTTAAATATCTATGGTGCTAATTTAGCACTTCAAAATCAATTCCCAACTTCATGGTGTTAATTCAGCACCCAAATTGGTGTTAGATTAACACTTTTTATTTAACACCACCACAAGGTGTCATTTTAACACCTACGAAGGTGCTATTTTAACACCTTCAAATTAACAGTGTAGTGTTTATATATAGTATCTCTATTTCACTATTTAGAAATGTTTGCACAAGGGAAATCCGTTCCCAATCCTATTGAATCGTGGTTACAGGCCTTGGGTGGTGCCATTAACACCCAGCCTGAATTTCTGATGGTTGGTGCACTGACAGTGGTGTCGTGTCTATTAGGAACACAGACTGATTTCGAAGTCTGTGAACGGCACAAAGAATGTTGCAATCTGTTCACCCTTTGCCTGTGTGAACCCGGCACTGGAAAGATGCAGGCATACAAAGTGGCTGTGGAATCACCACTAAAGAACATTGAACCACCAATAATTATTCATGATTACACCACAAAGGGTCTTCTTGACCACCTTCAGTCTCTAAATGGGCGAGCCCTTCTGTGCCATCCAGAGATGTTAAGTTTTTACGAGACACTCCTGAAGCAACAAAGCGAAGGAAATGGAGAAATGCAAACTTCTACCAAACTGGAATTGCTTGTTTGACATGCATGGAGATGGTGTTCGGATGAAATTTCCAGTCAAGATGAGAAAATTTCTTCAGCATTCACCTCCAAATTTCCAAAGAAAAACCGACTCAATTGTGGAAGCACCCAGATCATATATCTCGAAAAAATTTCTATTTGTTTTATTAAACTTCCTTCCTCTTGTTAACCGATTGAGTCGCATTGCACCCTACTTTATTATTTTACTCTGTCTAATGCCAGACGATTTTACTCATCAAGGGGAGGCGATGGTGCTTAATGGGTTAACTGGCCTATCTGCCCATGTGTTTAGTTAACCCACTGATTTGCATTGCGCCCTGATGCACCCTACTTTATTATTTTACTCTGTCTAATGCCATATTTTACTGTCTAATGCCAGATGATTTTGCTCATCAAGGGGAGAGCACTGGTGCTTAATGGGGTTAATATTACATTCATCAGTATTCACCACTTTAGCAAGTGGTCACTCTCCTCTGCAGATGCTATTAATAGTCTTGGAAAGCCAATACTATTATTAATAGCCTCTGTGGAGGAGAGTGGAAAGTGGCAATGCTAGCCATAGCAACTGGTCATAAACCTGCACTTAAATATTTATTTATATTCATGTTTTACCACTGTGAGGCGGATGGAAAACCTTAACAGGTATCACTTGCAACCCCATTACAAAGGATTCTTCAAATTCTTTCGGCAGCCAATGTGAGACAGATATATCATTTTCGTCTATATGTACCCCCATAAGATTGGCAACTTTGATAACAAGTTGGTTAGTATCTACGTGAGGTTTGACTGGGAGACCCGATATTTCACAACAGTTGTGTCGGCCATATTGATTCATAGCATCAACATTTATAACAAGATTATCACTAACTTTAGAAAGTTTTAAAATTTCTGCCGTTAATTATTTGTTTTCTTGTTGTACCGAATTGTATTTGGATTCTAATTTGTCAACCTGTTTATTAACTGAGTCGTATTTGTCGCTCATATTTGTCACTGAGTCATATTTGACTGTTTGAACTATCGGTCTGAGCTTTTCATCAAGCTTCTCTTCTCCAGAATTTGTTCAAGAATTTCCTTAGTAATTTGAGTCATGACAACATAAGAAATCCTACACAAATAAGACAAAATATCTTCTATTTCAAGGTGAGCATCAAAAACATGAGTGCAATCTTGTGACACAACCCTTGATCCATAAATAGAATGTCTTTGGCCACATCTCATTTATTCGACTTCTGGAGCAATACCTTTTTGGTGTTGTCGTTATTTTTTCAATGCCTTGTCCAGTAAACGTTTTAAATCAACCATATTCCTGAATAAAGAAATGCACATGGTAACACATGATGTGCATATAAGGTGTAATTCTTGGTCTGGCATATCCAGGTCGGGTATGCCTTAAGGAACAAAATAATTCAATCCAATTTTTAGCTTTCTCAAATGCTTCATAGGCTGATGAGCTGTCTAACTTGCAATCAGTTATGAAGTCATAAAATTTGAAATCACTCCATATTTTTGTCCATAATTTTGCTGCTTGAACCGTCAGCATTCTTTTTGTGCCATACAGAAAAGGTTACACCAAGATCATTCACATCCTTGATAAATTGCTGCATCAGAAGGCCCTTTGGACTACTTTCGGCTTGTTAAAGTGTGCAATGGAATCATGTTCCAAAATATCATCAATAACATTTTACAACAGTCTGTCGGTTATTCTTAGTAGCAGATGTAATTCGTCCAGAACCACATGATCAAGGTCTATACTTACCAAGGGGGGGGGGGGGGGGGGTGAATACACCCAAAGTTGTCATTCTTTTTCTGACACATGTGCTTCATTTCTTCCAAGGTTATCTTTTTTCCACTAAAAATTACAACATTTACTTGTATCCCATTTGCTTTCTTTATGAATTTTACACCATAAACAAGCATAATTGGCTATTGCAGAGTTTAGACCCCATTATCATAGCTAGGAATTTAAAGTCCCCACCCAGAAAGAATTCTAATTTCACTTCTTTTCCATCAACCAGTACAGTCCCTTTTTCAATTAATGACTTAGCCTCTTGAAAGAAGTCATGTAATGATGAGAAAAAGTTGCGACAGTTTCATATTCTTCCTTACCATTGATGATTGCCACAGTGCGGTTACTCTTGCATAACAAAACATTTTGTTCTTGCAAAAGTGCAAATGAAAACATCATGAAATTTGTCTAACACATCATTCGAGTGCCATCCCCACTTAACTTTACTTGAATGCTTTCTTCTTGTAGCTCTGATTTTTGTGCCAATAGATGTTTCACATGCTCTGCAAGGGTTGATGTGAAATTTATTCTTGCTCCAGGACATTGCCCACACGTTCCCTTCTATATGATAGGTCTTGTTCAAAGCTGACCACTTTTGTTTTGTGAGGTATGACCTTGGGAGATCTTCTGACAAAACCAACAACTTGTGATTGACACCCACACAAAATTTGTCCAATAAAAACAGAACTTTCTCTATGATACTTTGGTCATCCTGACTCAAACCTGAGACACCAGCAGGGGATGAGTTGTAATCGAGAGAGTAACTTGCCCCAGTATTATCTTTGAGTTTAATGTTTGAACGTTTGAGGCCAAAGCTTTCACAAAACCACAATGCACACTCTGCCTTACTTCTAAGATGCTGAAGCTTCCTTGTCTGTTGTTTCTTACCAACATCTTGGAATTTATTTCCCTGACATTGCAGGGAGTCCTTTTTCTCTAGTGTATCAATATAATCCATTAACTCCTTATTTACATATTTAAGGTCACATACTTCCTGTTTCAGTTTATTTACTTCCAAGATCAATTCTTCATATACTGTGTTTTCCTCCTTTTTTTAAGTCATTGTACTTTTCTTTTACTCTATTTCGTTCGGCGCTCAAATAACCAGGTCGAAACCCATCTGGTATTTTGCAGGTTCATATCTTCAGTTCAGTGCATGCTATGTACATGAAAATAAAACCATTCAATTCAGTGAAAAAATTTGTATCGATATATAATAAAATGTCAACATTATAGCGATTTATGACCTTTATATTTCAAGCGATATCAAATTTCATTAGATTACACAATATTCCCAAAAAATGTGAACAATGTAATAAAATGTATCACAAAGGCATACCTTTTGCCAAACATAACTTCGGATAAGATATCTTTTTCATAATAGTCTTGTTCGAATCACAATCCAAAACACTATTAAGAGTGTTATTTTCAAGCTTGTATCAACAGATTTGCATCTTTTTATTTCGGTATTTCAAAATATCTAAATTTTGCGCCAGAGCCTCGACGGCGGTTCGACCGGAAATCTGCCAAAACATTGCGTTGTTTAAATCTTATCGCTCGGGAAACATTGGAAATCGATTCTAAAAGTCAAATTACACCTGCAGCGTGATTTGCACATGCATTGGCCTACGGGTAGTCCCTTATTGGCCAATTTTAGCGTGTAGCGGGCGTGTGTGAGTAAAACCGGAAAAAACCCGATATTTTGAATAAATATATTTCTAGTTTTGTTTGTGGAAACACCATGTAAATTTATTACTGCAAAGCTTTCAATCCATAAGCCCGGATCTTCATCAGTGCTAATAACACAAAATAGGAAAGTACAGCAGAAGTGTAACTTGAGTCGGTGTTTACGTCCACGAAAATTTTAACTCGCTCACACCATCCTGGCTAGTACAGCCGGAAGTTTTTATCAGGTTTTGGTAGGTACAAAGTGCCAGTTGTACTAGCTAGGATGGCGTGATTGATGACGAATCGTTTGCAAAAACGAGGACAAATACTTGCTTGAGTGAGACTTCTGGTGTACCTTCCCATTCTGTGCTAATAATATGTGACTTGTTTATAATTCACACACCCTTTTTATATACAAAAATGTTGTGATCTGTGGATGTTCATGTCAAGTCCATTGTCACCTGTTATGGCTAATTTGTTCATGGAGGAATTTGAAAAGAAGGCCTTAGCTACTGCAACGTTGAAACCTGGTTTCTGGTTCAGATACGTGGATGATACATTGAGTAGCTGGTCTCATGGACTAGATAATTTACAAAAGTTTCTAGACCACATTAATAGTTTGCATCCATCGATCTAGTTTACTTTTGAAGTACAGAAGGATGATAAAACTATACCATTCTTAGATGTTCTGTTCACTATACATGATGATGGATCGCTAGGACATAAGGTTTATAGGAAACCAACACACAGACAGGTATCTGCATTATAATTCATTTCATCATCCTAGTATTAAAAACTCTGTGTGTAAGACACTCGTCAACCGAGTGAAAACAATTTGCGAGGTAAGCAACATTGATGAATTAGAACATTTAAGAAATGTTCTAAAAATGAATGGTTACCCACAGCATTTCATAGATAATGCTATGAACACACCACAAAGTGTACATCAGAAGATTGAATATCAGTTGTCTGTTTGTCTACCATACACACACAAAATCGAAAGAATTTTGAGGAATGAAGCAGGTATAAATGTATACTATTCCAACGAAAACAAATTGTTTCGAGCTCTTTGCACACATAAAGACAACGTAAATGAATCTCAGAAACCTGGTGTGTACCACATTCCTTGTGAATGTGGTCTGGTTTACATTGGTGAAACTGGTCACAATCTCTCAGTACGTCTTAAGGAACACAAGACGAATTGCGAGAAAGCCAAGCAAGATAAATCTGCTGTGCCTAAACATACTCGGACTTATGACCATCCTATAAAATGGGATGAAGCAACCATTTTTGCGATTGATGGTCATATGTTCTCTCGCAAAATGAGAGAGTCAATTGAAATCGAGAAGAACAATACTATAGACCAGGAGGGAAATTAGGCTGGATTGATATCACAAATACCGAATACCGATATACCGCCATCAGAATACCGGTAAATACCGGTATTTTTAACATGTTTTTTTTTAAGCCAAACTGAAGTGCTGACCGTCAAGAAAAATCAAGTTTTGACAAAATATTAATGTGGCACATACTGTTATTAGTGCAAATGTCACAAGATTCGCATTATCAAGCTATGTTAACAGGGG